CGGAAATGCAGCCGCCACTGCCGGGATTCTATCCCGCGACCTGCGGGTCAGCAGCCGAATACCTTAGCCACTAGACCACCGCGGCGGGGCGAGACGAAATGGTAGAGGCTCGTGTACTGTGCGACGTCAGTGGACGCTGAAAACACGAGATGGTGAAAATTTCCGGGGAGCTCTATTACGGCATCTCTCATAATGATGTCATGGTTTTGGGACCCCAAGCCGCCCCCCCCCCATTAATTATGTTTATGTTCCAGAAAGATTTGATTTTATTGGAAGACGGGGGGGGGGGGCGAATGAGAGGCTCTCCGGAAATTCGAACAACCTGTTGGTCTTAAGCGTACAACTAAATCGAAGTTCCGAGCCTGTAACATCTTGACTGAATCGAGTTGTGACCTGAGAGTCCATAGTTGAGCCCCATAACCACTAAAAAATGAACAGCAGAGATAATGGATATGTATTGTTTCATGGTCCCAAGCTTTTCTATACACTATCCTGCACACGCTCTCGGAACAACGAAACAACCTACGGATCGCCACCATTTTTGACTTACTTCAAGTCCGCCGTCTGCGTCAGCACCTCCCGTGCTGTGACGCCAGGCATAACATTTTGCTATCTGCAACGGTGGCCACGTGTTCGACTACCGTTGACGCAACTTTTACATTTGCCATATGATGGTCTGCATTTTTACGGCATTTGAATGCCGGAAATATGTCAGTGAAGTCTTGGAAGACACCGGTGTAATTGACTTACGTGTTTTAAACAAAGACGAAATGTCTATGTGCTGCAACGTGATCCCGAGAATAACATGAACGGCAAAGAGAAATAGCAAGTAGCCCACACACATTTATCACCATCAGCGGTTAGAGTATACTCTTCCCCCTCCCCTGTATAGTAGGCCTAACACAGTGTGCACTAACAACACCATGGTCGCCATGCCTGGATACCAGCATGTTGAAATGCCACCTGCACTCTTAACAACGGATTATTGCCGGTCCCCCCCCCCCTCCGCTTTTTTTTGTGTTCAACCTTGGCGAGGATGGCGATCAGAATAATGCGGGGGAAGCACGAAAGAATGCGTGTCTTGCCCTACACTAAGACTCTCTAATCAGGTTAAAACTGGGTGCTTCGAGCATGTCCCCCTCAGAAAAAAGAAAAGCATTCCTGGCGTACGCAGTCGAAACCACCTTGAGGCAGCCTGAAAGCAGAGTGAGAGGGTTGGCGAAATATAGTCCTCACTGGCCCCGCCGCGGTGGTCTAGTGGCTAAGGCACTCGGCTGCTGACCCGCAGGTCGCGGGCTCAAATCCCGGATGCGGCTGCGTTTCCGATGGAGGCGGAAATGTTGTAGGCCCGTGTGCTCAGATTTGGGTGCACGTTGAAGAACCCCAGGTGGTCAAAATTTCCTGAGCCCTCCACTACGGCGTCTCTCATAATCATATGGTGGTTTTGGGACGTTAAATCCCCCACATCAATCATCAAATCAATAGTCCTCGCTGGGTGCCAGTCGGCGTACAGTGTACTACAGAAGGGGGCAGTGGAATGAACGAGGCGGCCGCGCCGCATCTCGGCTGATTCTGCGGCGGGTGACAGTAGCGGCCGCGCTGTAGTCGCATGCTACTGAAGATCTCGGGGGCGTCTTCTCTGGGAGCGCGCGCTCCATGGCCTGCGACAGTGTGTAATTGCTCGTTTTTAGTGCGTTTGATACGTTTCTGAGGCTTTAGTAGTGAATGCACACCTGCTACGCGCTATGGCGCACAAGGGAATGTGCAGGCACTCAGAAATTGCGTTGAGACATTCACTGTTTTAAGAGCCTACCGACCGTTCGCCCTACAAAAAAAAAAAAAAAAGAAGAACACGCACACTTGTAAAATCGGAATTCGCACGGATCCTCCCAGCTTTAAATCACACGATCGTTTTGTCGGCAGTCGCGATACCCAGAGAAGTGTTCCTCACATAAGTCCACGTGCGCTCATGTTTCATTTCATTGTTTCATGGAAAACCCGAGTGTAAGTAACGCTGTCACAGCATTGATATCGGTGACTCGATCAGTTTTATCATGCCAGTTTTGTCGAAAATAGTAATTAATTCTCTCTTAAATGCTTATGTTGTGTTACCCACGTGCTTTTGCGCTTACGTTGCTTGATTTATGCAAGCTCCAAGTGGTTATTTTACCAGGAGTCCGAACCTGGGAGCCGAGCTCAAGGAACGCGTGTACCTCCAAGTCATGAGCTCTACGCGGAAGTGGTTACCTTAAACATATCATAAAATGCCGGTTGTATATATAGCCCATCTGTGTATCTGCGTAAATTCACTGTAACCAGTTCTCATTTTGTATCGACTGCTTAAATTGTGCTGCTTTCTAAATATTCTATTGACGTAACGCCATTGCAAGCCAGCAAATTTATGACGATGTTTTGTATTATAAATGTAGTTCTTTTATTAAGTGTCAAAAGTGTAGGCAGGCAGTGGTGCATATTGTTTTCAGAAATTTCCCTTGAATATGTACGCACACACACACAGATATATATATATATATATATATATATATATATATATATATATATATATATATATATATATATATATATATATATATATATATATATATATATATATATATATATATATATATATATATATGCTGCCGCATCCCTCTCGCCTTGAAAGAAGTTTACGAGAGTGAGAGGGAACTAAAAAAAGAAAAAAAAAACAAAACAAAAAGGGGGAAGAAAAAAGACGAAAAAGAAAGAAAAGAAAGAAAGTAAAAAAGAGGAAGAACCACTGTTAACACTGAGAACGAAACCAACTATCCGTATACGTCCACATACGGTTCTTATCACGTGCTGTTCAGTTCTCGACGTGTGTCAGGCCACCCAAGATTGTCGCCGCGGTGCCGGAAGGGTCCGTGACGGCGTGCGTAAAGAAAGGGTTTCCCCGTAATGGGTCGGTCGGCGTGCGTAAAGGAAGGGTTTCCCGTTAAAGGGTCGGTCGGCTCTTTACCTTTAATCTTCGTCCGTTTCCCTTCAATGGTCATCAAGTGGTAGGCGAACGTAAACATATTGTATGTGCATGTGGAAAAAAGAAAAAAAGGAAGAAAAAAAGGAAAACAAAAAACAAGAAAGGACAGTGTACACGTACGAGTCAGTCAGTTGTTTTTTGTTTTCCTTTCTAACGCTTCAAATTTGTAACGCTTCAACAAATGTGCAATTACCAAGACCGTTTCACATTCGTTTTCCCGGGTGGCTGTGCAATGGACGAAAGTTCGACTACGGCTTTTCATATACCCGAATATAAAGTAGAAAAAGATTTCAGACTTTCTCGAAAGACATCGTCTACAGCAGTGGAGCTTGTTGCAATATTACAAGCTTCTAAATTCATTGTTGAAAGCCAGCAAAGGCGAAATTGCGTAATATATTCTGACTGCAAATGATTAAGGATTTTTATTTTCATAGAGACGATAACATCATATATGAAATATTAAAAACAATTACCATCGGTTATCTGGACGGTCACAAGATATGTTTTCGTAGGATTCCAAGTCACGTACAAGTGATAGGAAATGAAATTGCTGACAAATTAGCCACTGCAGCACACAAAAAAGTTCACTCGACACCAGCGCCCGTTTATTTCTCAGAGAGCAAGAAGTTTTTTTTTTTTTTGAAATGTGCCACAAATTATGCAAAGATGCTTGGTTTGACGAAAATACAAAGTCGTCTCTTTTACATCAAATGGATCCGTCTCTCCAATTTTCACCTAATCAAAAGATCGATAGACCATTCGACACGCTATTGCACCATCTACGATTACGTGTTTCATACATACCTCACTTTTTATGTCGCATAAAAAGAAGAACGTCCCCGCAGTGCGACCACTGCGATCATGTTGATGCGTCAGAGGAGCATATTCCTTTAGAATGTCCGTAATACGATCAACAACGCGCTGAACTGAGGAATCGCTTGAACCGACTTGACAGACGAGCATTGACGATAATAAAAGTGCTTGGACTGTGGCCGCATTCGGATAATCAAAGGCGCGCAGTGAGCGCCCTTCACGATTCTTAAATGAACACAAATATAATGAACTGTTCATATAATACCTTGCCGCTATCTGTACGGACTCTATCCGCGATGTGATCCCGATATATTAACTGGACTATGACCACACATACTGTGCTTATTCATGCATTATATGCCCTATAATGTATATAGTATTGTACATAATGTCTTTGATTAGTTTTTTATTTCATTCCTATTTTAGCTTTTTGTGTGTTTATATTGTAAATTACTGTTATGGTTTTGGGATAGCCGGCTCTAACGTAGCCTACCTTCCCACGTTCCACCAAATATAAATGAAAAAAACTACAGTGGAAAATGGAAAACAACAACAACAACATGAGATGTGAACTAACTTTCGCATCATCATTATCGCCCGGTTTTACCAATAAGCACTGAACAAGCTATCGCTTCAAAGGAAAGCAGTATAGCATATATATATATATATATATATATATATATATATATATATATATATATTATATATATATATATATATATATATATATATATATATATATATTATATATATATATATATATATATATATATATATATATATATATATATGTGTGTGGGCCTCTTCCCGCATCGCGCATGTGGTGCCTGTGTTACAGTTCAAACGAAGATATAAAAGTGGAGGGCATCGGAGCCCCTTTGAAGCCCATGAGACGATTGTACAGACAGTGCCTTTGATTTGAAAGTCCTTACTACTTGTGGGACGGAGGCTATATGTTTTGTGCCAGTCAAGCAGTAACGATCATTCACCTTCAGGGTCAAGCTACCTACAGCACATCATATTCAGATGGATTGATTTACTATACTTTCATGTCTTGTTTTTTAGAGAAGTCATATGTCGAGAAATCTGTCGAGCATCTGAGCAACGAGAACGAAGTGCACCAACAAAGCTTTCTTTCAAGCTGCTCAAATGAATGCATTCCATTATGCAGGCAAATCACGTTCCCGACAGACTTTTTCGTTGTTGTGGGAGAGGAAGACATTACCAGGAGGGAGAGCACCGACGACGTAATCCAAGTGCTAAAGGTACGCAGCGTACGGCGTGCAATATTTATGCCTAGATTGTGTATCTGATATCATTTTTTTTACTGTTACATCAAAAGCGTCATAGAAAATACTAGGGTAAATATGAAAACAAGAACATAGTGTACATTAGCATCATATATGTCAGTATTACAAGTGAAACCATTGCAGACAAAGAAATGTGCAGGCTTTTATTCCAAATTGCATAACAAGTATTAGTACCACATAGTAGCGATTCCCGATTTCTTCGTGTATTGGCTAGATAATGTTGTAAGATATCGTGGAGGTATGAGTTCTCCGGACTTCACTATTTCACTATTTACTATTTAACCAAAAAGCGCTAAGGAGTAAACTTTTCTATACCACGTACGAAATTGTCACTACAAGTGAGGCAGTATAAAGAGTGCTGATTTTACAACAACGAACCGAAAATTATCCCGTGTGGTTCAGTTCAAGCGTTCATCAGTTTTTTTTTGTTTTTTGTTTTTCAAAAGCTTTACAACTGTGATGATGTCGCGTCATAGTCAAAGGGGAAGCATATACAAGCTATCTGGTAATATTCAACATATTCTTCACACAGTGACTTAAAATTTGGTAATTTTTGTTTGAACTTGTCTTACTATGTATTCACCTAAATCATTGTACTGTCTCTCGCCCGATTCATGGCCCCATACCCCCATCGTAGGCAATGCTCGAGCTCTGCGGGACTCAGCAACCAACCAGCTTTACTTCGCAGGCTCCTATCATGAATAGATTGTGCATGCGTATATTAGAGGGCATACAGGAGCACCTGCAGCTCGCAGCGAAAATCTGATGGTATGGGCCACTGGAAATCGCGGTCCTTCTCCAGAGAGCGACAGTTGCGATCACAAAAGTTCCTACGAAGCACCGAACCATATTTCTGTATACGGTCCCGTGTACGCAGGTCACCAAGCACCCACAGTGGGACAGAAACACGCTGAACTATGACTACGCTCTTCTGGAGCTAAGCACTCCCCTGGATTTCGAAGGGCGGCACAAGCACTTGATGCCCATTTGCTTGCCCGAGAAGGATCAGGACTTCGAGGGACAAAACTGCACCATCAGCGGATTGGGACTCACCAGGGACAGTCAGTATATTTTCCTGCTTTGTACACACAACTATCATTCGAGACCACGTATAGCGGCCCAGATGCCAACCATCCAACGCGCACAATTTGGGTAAGATCATAGATATGACAAAGTACGGTAGAAGACGTGGACCAAGCGAACTTCATCATCATCCTCGTCATCATTATCATCATGATCAAAAACAATATCATCGTCATCATCAGCCTGACTACGTCGACTGCAGGACAAAAGCCTCTCATGTTTAAGAGAACTTTAAAAAACATTAAAAAGAAACACAATTTTACGCATTAAATAAGTACTATCTTAAAATGCTGATAATGCCACTGGTACCACGAGACGACACTTCGTAAGAGAGAAAGGGTGTGAAAATAAATACAGGTTGGACGCCACCTCGAAATTCCCCGCCAAATGTCGTGACGTCGAAGTGGAACGTTATTTGAAGGCGTCTACTAGGTGCTACGTAGCTTCTAACTAATAAAATTGAACCATATTGCCACCTGTGGGTGCCATTGCCTAGCATACGACGTTTCAGAGTATTTAATCAAGTAGATCTCGCGAAAATACGAGAAATACATTTTGAAATTTGTTACGTCAGGCATGGAGGTCTAGGCGCGCGAAATTTCGAAACGAATCTTCAAGCTTTATTTTATCCGCTAATAATCAACCTATGATAGTGAGACTTGAGGAATGAGAGTCTTCAGAGGGCAGTTTATCAATGTGAACCAATTCATTATTGCTCTTTAATGTCCCTGTAATAGTAATGAACCCACTGGATCGCCTAAGCCAGCTTTACAATCAGTTGTGAGCAACACATCGATGTGTGCACGAATAAATTCAAGTCATCTTGGTTAGTGTCTTGGCCCCTCAATATTACTTTTTATGCGTAATGCGTGTACGCTTTTTTATATTCTCGCGTTGTTCAATCTTGTTACATGAAGTCCAGCTCATGTGTTCAGCAGAATGCGAGGAGAGGAAACATGCTCTGGTGCCGTCCTAGAAGATGACGTTGTACTGCTGAATACGATGTTGTCGATTCGTTTGCTGGTCGTAGCAGGACCACGGTTTTGTGAGGGAAATTTAGAAAAAAAACATTCTCATGTATAGACTTTTTATACTGGTTTAGAACAACAAGTAGTCAGAACAAATCCGGAACTTTCCAGCTACTTCAGCGACTGTCATATGCCAGTACCATTGTGAATGATGTCAAATTCGCCATTGTGTAAGCCGTGATCAGCGCAGAAAAATATCGGGGCTAAACAATCTGGGTTACTAAGGCTTCTATGATCAGCTAGAATGCTACCGTTAGGAGATTTCATCACGTGTCGAATACGACGATGCCTATACAATAACAACGCGAATGTTGATTTCGAGTGCTGCACCACACGGATGAAAACGTCACACATCTGAAAGACAGGCCCACCTCTAGACTCACCCAAGTATATTATTTTAATATTAGGCTTCGTCCACTAAGGCTGATGCAGGCTACGTCTCCAAAAAAATGAAGTGTGTGATTTGAAAAGGGGCATACAGAAAGGGGCACCATGCTCGCAAATGTGTATGTTTCTAGTTAGACACTGTTTCATACCAAGACCCGAGAAGCGGCTTTTTCTTCATAGATAGATAGATAGATAGATAGATAGATAGATAGATAGATAGATAGATAGATAGATAGATAGATAGATAGATAGATAGATAGATAGATAGATAGATAGACAGACAGACAGACAGACAGACAGACAGACAGACAGACAGACAGACAGACAGACAGACAGACAGACAGACAGATAGATAGATAGATAGATAGATAGATAGATAGATAGATAGATAGATAGATAGATAGATAGATAGATAGATAGATAGATAGATAGATAGATAGATAGATAGATAGATAGATAGATAGATAGATAGATAGATAGATAGATAGATAGATAGATAGATAGATAGATAGATAGATAGATTGATTGATCTCAACTCCAATCCTCCCCACGCATAGGAACGGAAGGAGGCAGGGTCCCAGCCGAATTACAGAAGGCTGACGTGCCCGTGCTGAAGCATTCAACTTGCCGTGAGTTCTACGCGGGCTTCAATCGGGTCCAGGAGGATACCATGATCTGCGCTGGACTCGAGGAAGGAGGCCGCTCCGTGTGCCAGGTACGATTTGCTATTGTGTTAGCTATTTATTGACTCTGACCAATTCTTCATAAGACCAATTCTTCTGACCAATTCTTCATCTATCTCGCTGAAATACTTGTGCCTACTAGGGTACTTGTGCCTCCATACTTGTGCCTCCAGGCTTCTAGGGCGATGACAACTGCTGCTACTACTGTCATGCGCGAGGAGTTGAGCCTTGTGTGTCAGTTCATATGGTGATTCGCAATGCCAGCACCAGGAAGCACCTGTCACGTGGATGCAGTAGAGACCTTAGAACGTAAAGAGAACGTAAAGCGAAGGGGCGCGAAAGGCATATTGTTTTGAGAAAAATTTGAGCCCTGACCTGTTTGCGGAGACTGACGGAGAGTGGCCATGTTAAGCTGTTATCGTCAGTGATTGTCCGCAATTACGGCGGTGAAAGGAAAGACAGTGCAACCTCTGCACAGACCTTTCAAACAAATGTATTAGCATAGGGCACCAGATAATGAAGAGAACGAAGGTGTAGAAGGCACTACCTATACTGTTTAAGGTACGTTGTAGTAATTGTGATATAGGCGGGAAAAATGTTTTTTTTCTAAAAGTGACAGTTTTTGACAATTTTAACACCTGCCACCTTCGGATACACAGGTCGCAGGCTCGGTCCCTAACAGTGACAAGTTCTCTTTTCGTCCATCACTTGACCTTCTTGACATCTACAGCGCACTTACTGCGGTACACTTACAACGATATATTTAGCAACCCCTACACTTTCCCTGGTTTCATTATCTGGTCGCTTTCATTGAAGTTGTTTCAGATAGCGAAACAAGCTCTGAAAAATTCTTCATTTTGTCAAGCATGTTGATTTGGAACGCTGAACCACACATGTGGCACATCAGGGAAACACAGCTCCACCTGTAAGCTGATGTGGTCCAACTTGTTTAATAGCAAAGGAGCACTGCAACACACTTCTGAGGAGCCATAGAATGACTTCACTAAGTTTCCCAGAATCTTACTGCCCAATATGGCGGCTACAAAACCCATCCGTAAAATATTGCGGATATGGTTCCGGTGCGACCATATTCAGCTGCTAACCTTGCTGCATTGTGCTTACGTTGGACGTTCACACATTATAGCTGTGCTTCTGCACTCAACGTTTATTTACCTTAATATTCACGCCACAATATGGAAAAAATAATAATAAAGATACGTCTATTTAATTACCAACGTTTGGTGGCGGCACCCGCATGTTCTAAGTAAGATGGTCTATGCGAGAAATGTCTCGCAGGCGGATGATAAAATGAAAGATTTAGTTCGAAAGTTGTGATGATGGACCACAAAAGCAAACAGTTTTAACGCTGCAGTTCACCACCACAGCCACCGATGTCCGTAACCGCTAACGCGCGAATAGAAAAAAAAGACAAAAATAAATAAGAGAGCTAGTAGAACTCGCTGTTGGGCTAGTTTGTGCATGTCTTGATTAAGTAAGAAAGCTATTTATACGGTCAGATGGGGATTGAGCCCCCACAATCAGCGTGGTGCTGAGGTGCTCTACCACAGAACCATGCTTTATTTTTGTCTTTATTACTTATTCTCAGATATTATTTACGCCAACGATGGCATAGAGGTAATAATAAGTCTCAGTCTTAGTGGACAGTGTGATTCCTTCGCAAAAAGAACCTTTTGCTGCCGTCACGCCGGGCAAGCAATCATGTTAACATCTGTTGTAGTGCTGTAGAGGAGTAAAATATTACAACTGGAATTGTTCAGAAAAAAACTGGTGAACGATTTAGTGTACTTGGTACTCTACTATGGGAGAGCAATAGGCCGTCCCATGGGCCTCTTATACAAAAAAAATTGCCCTACACATGAAAAAAAAATGACTACAACTGGAATTGCGCAACCAGCCGGAGGTTGAATTCTTCCAACCCATTACAAGGGGTTCAGCCATAACTCTTTATATTCATCAGCCGCAGCAGAAAGTGCACACATCACCTCGCAGATAGCGAGTACCACGGTTCATCACAATCACTTGAAAAAAATGATGTCATTATCGCGCATTAGCTAATTACACAGAAGCTGGAACATTTATAACAACCGCGGCTTCTGGGTAGTGCATACGACGCCATGTCTGGAAGGCGCTGATAATCTCTGAGGCATGGTCTGTTACCTGTGTATGCCATTTAAATGGGGCACATACCGTTCGCATAGACGCTATTTAATGTTTATATTTCAGGAGCACGGAAGCTCGGCTGAATTTATATCGTTCTAAACTGAAAAACGGTGCCATGCAGTTTATATTTTCGAACCCCTCAGTTTATAACGAGCCAAAATGAACTCGCCCACCCTCTTACGTTACCATGTGTGCGGGACGTTACGGAGTAAATACACAGCGCCAAAAAACAGGGACAACCCTGTTTCTTGTCGTCTGTCCCTGTTTTCGGGGCTTTGTATTTATTCCGCAAAGATTACAAGAAATATGGGCGGTAACCAGCAGTACAACTTTGTCGATGTAGCTGTTTAATGGTAAGTACATATGAAAACCAAAACATTGTACATGACACATTCGGTTCGGGGCTCCATTTCTGAGGCGCTTTCGTGCGTCTTGTGGCGATACACGCTCATTGGATCTTGGATCGTTCATTTCATTAACCTGAAGGCCTCATGCGTCTCATCATAAACAAATTTTGCGCCAAGTGTTGACAGCAAGAAATGTAATGAATTTATGTCGGAGTCCCACCTATGACGATCCCAGAGATGGGGCAATACCACTTGAAGTGTGGAAAGTTTACGCAAGGGAAAAGGGTATAATGGCAACGCCTAACAACGTTCATATAATTTAATGAATGTTTTACGAGGGCACGGGCGTTCATCGTCACCTCCCGTAGTGCACGTTGCCTACGATTTTCTGCTTATGATGTAACTACGGAAGGAATATATAATTGAAGCTTCTATGATACCTCACCCTACCATCAGTACCTGACGTCTTATGTTTTCGTGCGAGTGTCCGTGGTTGCAAGAGCAAGCAAGTTTACGGCACATCTGATACGTGATCAATTGGGATGAAAAGAAAAGCCACCCGCACCTTCCCACGGGGGGGGGGGGGGGAAACTCGGGTAAATGCGTCGCAGAATGGTGGGTCTATCGTTCGAATGTTGCGTAATTGGGTATGCTATGTGAATGCTTAATTGTTATTTCGTATTTGTTATCATCTTATTTATTGAATGAAGGAGAAGCGTTGCCTTTAACGAGCGGTGCGACGCTGATGTTGCGTTCTGCCCCACTATTGATTGAAGGCACTGTTACTTCCGTCGCATCTACTCGAGTGATGCAAAGCGTCAAGTCATGCGAAAGCCAAGTAAAGACACCCTTGACTATATTCCGAACAATATACGAGGTATCTAATATATCCCAGGCTACCAATGAGGTAGGTTTGCCCCCCCCCCCCCCCTCTCGCAAAAGAGTTGGTACGTCACTGCTCATCAGGTAGTTCGTGCTGTTCAATATTGGTCATCCTCGTCAGGCTGTGATGTTCATCTCTATTCATGACATATTGACATCCACGCACGGCCACACACGCACTCACTTGTTTGATCAGTCGCGCCAAGTCTTCGATTGTTTCCGTTGCGCTTCTGCTTCGCGGTGCTTCGCAGCTTCGAGATTCGCTTGACGGCGTTGCCATTTACGTTCAGCTTCGCAAAGTCGGAGTTGTGGACCTGCTTGCCTTGCCGTGTACATCCAGCGTCCCGAGCCCTCTTCAGCTCATCGGGACTGCTTACGTTAATTCTTTCAGAGCTCGCATTGCTGTTACAGCTTACGTTACCTATGCCGCTACAGCTGGCGCCAACGTTCACATTCATAGCGCCGTTCTGAAGCAGAGAGGAACCGGAGTGAGTGCACAGCTGTGGCGGAGAGAAACGGAAGAGGAGGCATCACTCACGCAACCTTCGCATCTAAGAAAAAAAGTGTGCCGCGTAAAGAAGACACTTTGCGAGGAGCTGCGTCCACTACTGGTACAAAAACCATGATTCGTTACTTCAAAAGTTATAGAGAAGGCTCCATGGCGGAGCGAGGGCCCTATTGAGATGACCCACAAGTCACTGTTCAACCTGAGAAAGCCGTCAGAACTCGATGCCTTGCTGTTCAGGTGTCGACACGTACACGCGACCCTCTGCGTTATAAACGCGTGGCTGCTACTCCAGCACACACACAACCAATGCTTTCCTACTCGTGCAGGGCGACTCCGGGGGACCGCTGCAGTGTCCTCGAGCCGACGGTCGCTACGTGCTCGCAGGTCTCACGTCCTGGGGAATCAAGTGTGCTGCCCCCAGAATGCCGGGCGTCTTCGCGCGGGTCGCCACGCGCCTTGACTGGATACGAAGCGTGGTCGGAGAGACACCCTGATTCCTTCAATAAAGCTACTCTGACTTGCATTCGTTTTATGCGATTGTGCATGTATGCAGTGCGTGTCTTTGTGCGAGTCTGTGTGCGTGTGCGCGCGCTAACACAAGTATACTCACACACACGCAAGTGTGCGCGTGTGCGTGTGTGTGTGTTTGTGTGTGTAAAAGAGACAGCTTCCGGCGCGCGGGAGTTGTATTTGCAGCCAACGTTAATCGAATAGGTGGATAGCAGAATGGAGTGTCGTCTGCTACGGTACTTCCGGTTCGAGGTTGATTGATTGATATGTAGGTTTAACGTTCCAAAACCACGAAATCATTATGAGAGACGTCGTAGTGGAAGGTTCCGGAAATTCCGACCACCTGGGGTTGTTTAACGTGCATCCAAATCTGAGCAGAGGGACCTACAACACTTCCGCTTCCATCGGAAATTAAGCCGCCGAAGCCGCGATTCGATCCCGCGACCTGCGGGTCAGAAGCCGAGTACCTTAGCCACTAGACCACAGGGGCAGGGTATCTGGATTTTTAAAGCGAACAAATATATAAACACACCAGTGTGTTTATATAAATATTGCCCAATGTTTAGGTTGCGCTCGGCGCCACAATTTAAACAGCTCCGCGTTATTCCATTTCTGTCCTTTAAGGGACACTCTATGTACCGAAGAGGCAGACATTACTTGACAAGAATATTGCGTTGTAGGCATAGAGTTTCCTAAAAATACAAAGAGGGGACTCGGTCGCTGCGATCATTCAGCAACCATGGGAATGATGGGGAGTTCACACATTTGCCTAGTTTTCGTACTTGTGGATGGCGAATCGGGCTTGTGGCTTCGTTTGTTGCTGTGGTTCGGTTTCGCTCTGAAAAAAAAAAAAAGTTCAACCCTTTTTAGCTTCATGATCTGGTTTGTAAGGGTAACTCTAAAAGAATCAGGTGGTGAAGCGCAACCGCTTAGCATTTCTAATTCTGTGTTTCGTTAGAAAACATCTCCAAGCCACACGAGCACACAAGGAGCCAAAGGCAGGCCAGAAATACGATGGTTAGACAAATGTGTGTACTAAACATCTTTCTCATGCCCGCTGAAGTGCCATGCATTGCAGCTCCCATAGACACTAGCGCCAGAGTTCCCTCTAGTGTATATTAGGAAACTCTATGGTTGTAGTGGGACAAGGACCGTACAATAATAGGTTATGTCAATCACAATTGACCCTTTTCAAAATTCAGCGCCACTTATCGAACGAAATCGAAAACTTGTTTTTTTCCGCCATGTCTTGTTCACCTACGGTGATACGCAGTGCTGATACCAGTAGGGTGGCTAGAATGGGGAGGTGTGATGACCGGCCTCCGGAGGCTGGCCCAAAAGCACGTTCCTGCCGCGCGGTGGCGCTGCCGGTCGGGGCCCTGTGCTTTTCTCGCGTCGTGTACTTGCCTCTGGGCGGGTAATTGACTCGACCGCGCTCAGTTTTACCGCTGTAGTCTTTTCAATTATGTTGCTGACGTCGAGAAACTTACACGTGTAATCTACAAGCGCAAACCACGCTGCCGATACAGAGCGTGGGTTTCACGGCCACTTCTTGCGAGGTGGGCGCGCTTGTCACGCGAAAAATAATTTAGAGGAATCTCTCCCGCTGACCAGCAGGTGGCAACAACCCTGCGTGTGTCGCTCGCAGATTAGTTATACATTTTTGATTGATATGGTACTTTAAAGAAGGAAGTCAATGCAGTTTTTATGCAGTGCGGCAGAAGAATGCAATAAAGTACAAGACTACAAGACTGGTGGCTTGATACAAGTTTATTGGGAACAGTACTTTAAAACATTACATAACACAGGGCTTAACCTTCTTGGCTTTATTCTGAACAGCATGCTGGTTCAGCTTTTTCAGCAGAAAATGGACACGCATAATGCTGTAGAACCTGGCAACCGATGTTGTTAAAGAAGATGAATGCTCACTGCAGCATATTTGTGGCACATTGGCTGCTAGGCGCAAAAAATCCTTCACTGCTTTGGTGTGCAAGCGCGTGGTGCTAAATGCACGAGTTAGTCTATCCTCAAGGGTTTTGATGTTTTTGTTTTGGAATGTCTGACGTGACCAATACTCCTATGGTAGTCGAAGACCGAAAATGAAGTGTTTCCGAGGTACTTCATCGTTGACTATGTCCAGTTCATCATGAGGAATGAGCTGAACCAATTCGCATTCTGAATCGTCAATGTCATCGCGGCTCTTCTTTGCAGGCACGGAAGAGCCCTGTTCCATTCTCCTCTTCCTCTCTTTTGGCAGAGTTTTCGTCATATGCTTTGGAAGGTTCGGGAAAATTGTTGGAATAGCACTCTCCTTAAGGGCAGGCACATCGCGTGGTATATGAACCTCCTTTCCATTCATCACAATGTGCACGTAGTGTCTCATGATAAACCTGAAAACATAATAAAACGTGAGCGTAGCCTGTGTAATAAAAACACTTCGGATTTGCAGAATTCTCTTGCAGTGGCTTGAAACCCTTGGTATGGCTCGTGCCCACTTTTCAAATTCATCCTCACGGGCAGGCGCACGAGAGAGAGACAGTCTTTCACCGCAGGACTTATAGCCGGTGTCGCAACCTGGCACAAAGCACCACCTCTGCGTCCCCCCCCCCCCCGGTCGATGGCATTCTTCAGAGCGGTTCAAAAATCGACGTCAAACGATGACATCATCTCCTTCAAGAAATCGGGAAGCGATAGAAAAAGCAGGCCGTACTTCGCGAACAGCGACAGCTAACTTGCGCTGCTCCGTCACCTACGAGACACGAGCAACACATGCTTACAGTCAGTACATGCCAACAGCGCCCTAAAATCCCTGAAAAATACTAAAGTAGCGCAATTCGTGTCAATGTGCAGCCTCCTCTCCCCTCGCGTGCATGGAAGATAGTAAACGACGCTAGTTGAGGGGCTGTATGGCTCCTGGCCGCAAAGATGAGCTTGTGCTCATGTTTCCGTTAAAGCACATCTGGGCGCTGTGGTTCTAGGCGGTGCACCGAAAGAGTGATAGAGAAAGAAAAATAATATAAAAAGTAACGTTAAATACGACGGTGTGACGTGTATATAAGCAAGTGGCATGCAGTGGCAAAAGACATCACCGCAAGCAGGCAATACTCAACGCGATAGCCCACCGTTTGCATGCAGACGCGCTCAGCGGTGTCGCTCTCGATGGCAGCGCCACTGCTGTCTGTGTGATAAACTCGGCGGTGCTAAGAATCTGCAGCATGACGCACTAGCCTTTGTGAAGGTATCGCAAACGCCATTTTGTTTGTCCACTTTCGTGGTGTTTGTTTGTGGCTAGGCGTGCGCGCTTGGTATTGTTGTGTAGCCGGAGTTCGACCGCGCGTGAGTGTGTGCACGGTAATCCTGCATGTTTAGGGATGCCGACCTGCTGTGCCAGCGGTTGCAAAAGCAACTACAACAGAGGAAAGAAGCTATTTTCGCTTCCGCGAGGAAAAGACAATGCCGCTAGGCAAGAAGTGTGGCTCCAGCGTATCGGAAGGACTGACTTGGACCCTGTATCGTCGCGGCTTTGTGAGGTGAGTACCGGCGAGCTAAACTCTATCGTTTCACTTGTATTCGTGTTTACAGTGTTGCGGTACTGTCAAGCTCGAGCATCACACAAAGAGAGTAACCGCGTCGATGGTAAACGTGCATGCCAGTTGAAACGCGTGCCGCGTTTAGTGCCGTGTAATCGTTGCATCTCTGGCTTGATCCATGCCGACCGCGGCGGCTGCATTTTCGATTGAGGCGGAAATGTTGGGGCCTGTGTACTTAGCATTACATGCAGCAGTGCCCGAGCTGCCCAAGTGTCTGGCACATCCAGTGCGCCCGCGTGCTTTCGCATTCGTAGTTTCCTGGTGGACACTCTAGAGGCGCTGCTGTGGCTGCTGGGAGAGGAGGTAGAGGCGAAGGGGTGCGGTTGGCGCTACTTTAGTTTATTTTTCAGGGGCTTTACAGCGCCCCAGACTGACGCGCCAAATTTCCCCCCAGCGGCGAGAACGCGCAAAGGGGCCTCGCTTGGCAAGAGGCCGCCGCCGCAGTCATCACACCTCCCCATCCTAGCCACCCTAATACCAGTACGCGATTATCGCTGCGTGTGTGGGTTATGGTTAGAGTCGGTGCGACGCCCGAGAGGACGCACAGGGGTCACTTCAGGGAGCGGTGCCACTGCGGCCCTTGCGGGACCTCTTCGGGCGGCGGACGGGCTGTTATGACCGGCAGAGCAAGGAAATGGCCTGCAAGGGACGCTCATTGGCGTGCCATCCCAACGCGGTACACGGCCTGCAGGAACGCAAGGGATGTCCGTGTGCGCAGCAGGGAACGCTCATCCGCGTCGCTGGGCCACATCCCGCCAGAACAAGATATGGCGGAAGAGCCATGTTGCCAGACTGAATTTTCTAAAATGTCCATTAAAGCTTGTTGCATTAATAATAAGCAACATTGGCGTCTTTGCGACACGTAACAACAATGCAGAACGCCGTTTCTCACTGAGTCGCCAAAACGCTGCATTCACACAGTATTTAATACTATTCATGTTTGGGACGACACCAAGTGCACTTTATGATGCACTTAATCTACAAAGCGGCATGCATATACACCGATATGATCCCGGCGAACGGAGGGTACGACGACGATACTGAGCACTCTCGGCAAGTGCCCGAAGTGATCGCATTGCGTCGCACTTACAAGCGAGGAAGGCCAAATGTGTCTGTATGCCATGCTATAGGCTAACCTACAAGCAGTCAAGCTTGCGCTAACAGAGCGGAACAAACCGCATTTGAGGATGAGCAAGACGCGCGCGCGCTTTCTAGCCTTATGTGGCTAGAAAACGATGCAGGAAGGAATTCACGCTATAGCGTTTCATCCAGTGGTCATCAGACGGCGATATTGCTCTATCTCGGGGCAAATATTGACAGGAAAATCGCACCTCTAAAATATGGCTGGCTACCACAATCATTACGGTGAGGTTGCAGTTTACTATCTCTAGGCTCATTTTTCGACCTTGATTGAATGCTCGCGCATGGCCTC